TAAGTTGGTATAATTTGTAAGACTGCAGAATTGATATATCCTGCCCCATCCCCACCATCAGCTGTTAACATGGAATCAAATACTACTTAACATCATTCATCACCTCTTGTCCTGCTCACTAACTTTGAATTTGGCCGCTTTGTGAAGTGGGTGTTCTTTGACTTACTCTGGTTTTATGCATAGTTAGGCTCCACACAAAAAGAAAAATCAGCAACCTTACACAGTCACACCAGGGGTTTTGAAAAGGTAGTATATGCACTACAAATTAAGTTCATCTAGTCCCCTCCTAATTTTTTTGTTCCAATTTAAAATAATCAACTTAGTCCTAAACAAAATCAGAAGTAAATTTAATTGCACAGCTATTGCTAGAAGGCACTAAGTTTAAAAACAAAAGATGGTTATAAGCTAAAATAGAGATTAAAAATAATTACTGGTAAAAGGTGCTTAGAAAGATTAGTATTTGGCTAGTGTAGGCCTGGCTTGGTTGAAGGCTTCTCTTGCTGAATATAAAGAGTTAAAAAGCTTAATCAAAATTTGGCAACTGCAGTGGCTTCTATAGTCACATAGTTGGAGATTTATCCCACAGGTTGAACAAGTGGAATGGTTTGGGAGGGGTGGGGGTGGGTTCCTTTATTTCACTTCTATGTCACTGCAAGTTGTTCTTTCTTTCCTTTAAGTCAGAGAATAGTTAACAGTTAAGCAAATTGCTGTGGCTTTGGAGTCATTTAGGCCAGGCCAGACCAGTTAAGGATTCTCTTCCCTAGAAATACATTAGTGAATCGGATGGGTTTTTACAACAATTGACAGATTGGCTAGCCTTTTATTCTAGGTTTGTATTGAATTCTGGATTTCACCTTCTGCAGTGGTATTTGAGTCCAAGTTCCCAGTAGCCTGTTGATTTGGATTACTAATTAGTACAGTGACTTTGCTGTACCATCACCTCCAAGCCTAATTCAGTATAGTAGTCCTTGAATTGGTCTGTTTTTCCATCTCCCTGCTGAGAACTCTGTCTGATTTCTTGAGTTCTGACCAAATAGTGTCTGAACCTGTCTCTCGTAAAGACCACAATTTAAGATGGCTGCTATCCCACATTGCTTCATGCCTCCATATTAGGTAACAGATCCATCCATTGTCTTTTTAGTCAAGAAAACTAATTTAACTGCCTCAGCCATTAGTTTGAATGGATGCTGTTATCAAACTATGGTGTGGTGGAAGTGATTCTTCTCTCCAAGGACACTATTATCAAGGAGTTTCAGTTTACCTATGGAATTTTTTTTTCAAAAAGTCACTTGTAATTTATTCCTGTGATAAATAGTTTAGTCCCCATAGTTCAGTCCACAAGATCAGTCACATGACTTCTGGGAGCAATTTTATAGGGTTCTATGTCCATTCTAAAGATGAAATAGCCTTCTTCATAAAATGTACATAACATTACAGAGTTGTGACAAACCGTGTAAGAGCTGCTGCAAGTTGATTTTCCTCCTGCATGTTTGGGAAATGCATGTCAGACACAACTTTAGGTGTTTTAAAGTAAATTACCTTGCCTACTGTTAGCTGTGATTCAGTTGGTAGCGCATGCCTCTAAATCGCCTAAATTCAAATCCTCCTCCAGGTTGGGCACAAAAATCAAGGCTGACACTCAAGTACAATACTGACGGAGTGCCAATCACGTCGGAAACACTCTTGTCTCAAACAAATAGTTTAAAAAGTAGAGCAGGGGAGGTAACCCCCATGTCTTGGCCAACATTTATAGCTCAATAAATATCACAAAAACAGACTTCTGGTTATTACCACAGTACTGTTTGAGTTCACATTGGCACCCTTGTTTCTCACCTTACCACTGGTTTAATTGACTTGTGTTTTGAAATGCCTGGTGGTCATGAAAAGTGCTTTGTAAATGTAAGTCATTCTTCAAAACCGTGAGGTATGCACATCAAGACAATGGGACTCAGCCAGAAGCTACATTCATGGATGCTCTTTCTTAAATGAAGGCATGGGCCCTGAGGCCTGCAATACGATCAATACCTTTCAACATGGTTCTCTCTTTAATAACTGACGACACAAAGTTGAATCAATTCTGTAATGCCCTTGTTTTTGATATGCTGTCTGCTCTGAATCAATGCCAAATGTCATTTTGACCCATTTGAAAGTTATTCATCAGTTCAACTTGCAATTGTGTGTCCGTGTATGGATTTTGTAACATTTTGGCAGTAGGAATTGAATCTTGCTAGTTTCTTTAAATATTTGTAAGTTGAATCATTTGTATTTGTTGTTTCAAACACTGGAACTACATTGTGTATTGATGTTACAGATACAGAAATATTTATTTGTATAAAGCTCAAGTTGAATAGTTTAGGAAAAGTTGTTAAAATTTAAATATAGATCTGCTTAATAATACTGCTGAGCTTTGTGGGAAATTTTTTCTTTATCCACTCGTGGGATGTGGGCATCGCTGGCTGGCATTAATTGCCCATCCCTAATTGCCCTTGAGAACGTGGTGATGTTTTGCTGCCTTGAACTGCTGCAGTCCGTGCTCTGTGTTGATCCGCAATGCTGCTAGGGAAAGAATTCCACAATTTTGACCCAGTGACAGTGAAGGAACAGCGATATATTTCCAAGTCAGGATGGTGAGTGGTTTGGAGGGAAACTTGCAGGTGTGGTGTTGCCATGTGTCTGCTGCCCATATCCTTCTAGATGGAAATGGTAATGGGTTTGGAAGGTGCTGTCTGAGGATCTTGGATGAATTTCTACAGTGCTGCTAATGAGTGCTGGTGGAGGGAGTGCTTGCTTATTGGTATGGTGCCAGTCAAGTGGTTTGTTTTGTCCTGGATGGCATCAAGCTACTTGTGTTGCCTGAATGGGCATATCTCCAACAAGTGGGGAGTATTCCATTACATTCCTGACTTGTGCCTCGTAGTTGGTGGACAGGCTTTGGGGATTCAGGAGATGGGTTACTTGCTGCAATATTCCTAGCCTCTGACCTCTTGTAGCTACTGTTTATGGTGTGAGTTTAATTCTGTTTCTGGTCAATTGTATCCTAGAATGTTGGTAGCGATGGTAACACCATTCAATGCCAAGGAGCCTGTTCTCTTATTGGAGATGGCCATAGTCTGGCATTTATGTAATGTGAATATTACTTGCCACTTGTCAGCCCAAGGTTGGATATTGTCCAGAATTTGTTGCATTTGAACATGGACTCCTTCAGTATCTGAGGAGTTGTGAATGGCGCTGAATGTTGTACAATCATCAGTGAATATCTCCACTTCTGACCTTATGATGGAGGGAAGATCATTGAAGAAGCTTTTGCATCAATGTCACACTGATATTACAAAGATAGGTGGCTCCAAGTAAAAATAAAATGCCTTTTATACCAGCCGAGCTTATACTGTATTAACTGTGCTAAATAAGGTGGTAATCATGTTGAAGAAAACTGTCTAGGATCTACCAAAAGAATAATATTCTTTGTAAATGTGCAGTTAAAAGATAGACTGAAAAAAAAATCATACCGAATTTGTACCCATTTTACAGCAGTGCAATTCTAAGTTTCATTAATAAATTACCAATTCTCTATTTTTATTTGTAATTGTACCTGATACCTAGGTATCAACAACTTGAACAGAAATTGCTGTTCAATTAGCCAGTGGTAAGGTAGCAAGTGGTGGCCCTGCTGTCTTACTGCAGTGTCACTTTGAGGCCCTTAACTGACAAATCAGTACCCATTCAAGAATTACCTCATGGGAGAGTTCTCTCGTTCAGAGACATTCCATGCTTGATTGAGAAACCTCAGATTAAGAAGGGGTTTAGTGGGGACTGTGGCAAGGGGGTCACTGGGAAGCGATTCCCCCACTCTTAAATCCCCTTCGAAACAGCCTATATTATGCCTGGAACTCTCCCTTGAGCCTCAGCTTTAGCTGTCAGCAGCCACTGTTTCTTTGATATTGCTGAGCGCAGAGACTGGCAGCTGTCAGCAGGGAACATACAATGAATCGAGTGCTGCTCTTGTGTGCCTTCCCCAAAAAGACAGGCCATGTAGGACTTTCAACATCTCTGCAGCTGCTGTGAGAGGTACATGTTGCATTTAGTAAATCTACCCTTTGTGACTCTGGGGTAGTTCTTCAGTAACCTATTGTAAGACCTAAGCCAAGTTCTAAATTTTGAGTCACCACAATAGGGGCAGCATGGTGGCTCAGTAGTTAGCATGGCTGCCTCGTGGAACCAGGGACCCAGGTTCTGATGAAGGGTCTAGGCCCGAAACATCAGCCTTTCTGCTCCTATGATGCTGCTTGGCCTGCTGTGTTCATCCAGCCCTGCAAGCCTTTCTGCTCCTATGATGCTGCTTGGCCTGCTGTGTTCATCCAGCTCTACACCTTGTTGACCCAGGTTCCACCTGGGTTTCCTCTGAGTGCTCCGGTTTCCTCCCAAAAATATGCAGGTTAGGTGATTTGTCCATGGGGATGAGGAGGGTCATATGTTTTTCCAAGGATCAATGCCGACTTGATGGGCTGAATGGCCTGTATCTGCACTGTAGGAATTCTGATTCTTTGGATACTAATCAATGAGTTAAGCTAAATTTTTAGTCATCAGCAGCAACTCTGGAGTCTGAGGACCTGCCTGCCTCGGTTACCATCTCCGGTCTGATGCACCATTAACATGGTTCCAATTAACCCATCGCCAAGTCAAAATTCAACTTCGCAGAAGTCTGGGTTTCTCCTGGAAGGATGTACCTCATTACTACTGATTAATCTCAGCCAAGTGATGCAAGGCAAACTATTCTTGAGTTTGGGGTCTAAAAATGTTTGAGTTAATCATAACCTGAAATTTCAACACATGTTTTAATCAGCTTCTAGAGCATAAAGATTCCAGTTTTTTGTTATGAATAGAAGATACAGTTTGATTCACAACTCTTATTTCAAAATACCTGATATCTCACGTACGTTATTAAATGTAATTTTTGAAGTAGTAAATTAAATTATGCAGCATCCGTTTGTCTCTTCACATAGGGAGCAGATGCCATGGTATTGGAAAGTGTTATGTTTGCTATCTTGGCAGAACGATCACTTGGTCCGAAGCTATACGGAATCTTTCCTCAGGGTCGTTTGGAACAATTCATTGCTGTAAGTCTGATTATCTCCAGTATTGTGAATCATTGATTGTGCTCCATTGCCTTGAGCTTCCACTAGACTACTGCTTGTGGAAAATGAAGGACGTGGGAAAAAATAACTTTTGGCAACGTGCCATTCTTTTTGTGCTCTTAGTGCTGCAATTATTAGCTCTGTCTTGGTAATGATTCTGCATCTGTATCAAAAGAACAATCTTAATTGAGCACATTTTTGTAAACTCAGACAGTTGCTACTGTTGAATTTTACTCCAATAATAACATCAATCTGCACAAAAGACGAAATCCCATACCATTCTCAAAGTGGAAAATGTTTTCCAATCTGAATATAAAAGACTTTTCTATCCCAAGCTACTGAGCAGTAAGTCAAGAAATATAAAATTTGTTAATATAAATGCGCACAGTGAGAAACACCATTTAATGCCTTTTTAAACTAGAAAATAATTTGTAATCAGGCAGATGTTTAGGATATCTGCTGAGTGAATGTTCAATTTCAATTAGGTTTTCCTAATGCACATAACTAGAATTTCAGATTTCTCAATGTACTGTAAGTACTCCTGAATAGCATTTTTTGGGGAAAATTATATTTAGCTATATAACCTTATTGATTTAGAGTTTGATGTCTTCTATATTTGTATATCCCTTGGTACTAGTTTTGTAAACACCAACAAAATGATTTCCGACAATATGTAGTGAGATTCTTCAGACACCATATAGAGATGAGTATGTGTCAGAGGTGTGAGATGTTTAAATGATCATGAAGAAACAGTAAAGGTATTTGCTGTCTTCTCAAGTTTTGAGATTATGCTTTCCAGTCTATTGTCTACAAGGTACATGGTAGATATGCAAGTACAGTTAACAAAAAGCAGTAGCTAATGTTATGAAAAGCATTTTGCATTTAATTGCATGGAAAAGTGTGAATTTGAAAATATGGCATGTATACACTGGCTTAATACACGTATAGAAATTTTGCATGTTGGTGTAAAATAAGTTAGCATTCAACATATTGCATGCATGTGATTTATTACTTAAATATTGTATCCTGTTACTTTAGAGTCGGAAATTGGAGACCAACGAATTAGCTATTCCAAGTATTTCAGCAGAAATAGCAAAAAAGATGGCCACCTTTCATAGAATGACTATGCCATTTAACAAAGAACCAACATGGTTGTTCCATACTATGGAGAAGTGAGTACTTATTTGGAACATTTAACTGGGGCGTAACCTGTGTGTAATATTTCTGTTATATGGACTTGTTTTAAGCTAAGTTAAAAAACCAAAAAGAACACATTGTACGTTTATAAATTTTATCTTGTGAAGGTAGGAAGTTTCTGAACATCATTAGTGCCCACCACTTGCACTTATCGCATTCATCAACAATTAACAGCAGCAACTTTCATGCCGCATTACAAAAGCTCTTGTTTTCAACGATTCATTAAGCTCTTCGCACCATTACAATGTTAGTACTTTTTAATGGTTTCAATCATTGTAGATTGAAAGGACAGTTATTAACATTGAAGATTCTGACAGCTTTCCATGTTAATTAAAATACTCTTAAAATATCCTGACATTTCAGTGGTAATGGCACCAAGTGAGTGGAGCAAGAATTAAACAATTCAAAAGGAAACCTACACGTTTCCCAAAAACTCCCAACAAATGTCTCTCCATTTTTATTTATTATTAAGTCAAAATACCAGTGAGATATCAGTTAGTTTCAGGAGGAGATATCACTTACTCAAGACATATTTTACATCAAGGACAAATTTGTTTTTATTCTTTGTTTTGCTACATTATGTATTTTGGACACTTAACCACTTGTGTAGGTATCGTCCTTTATGCATGAGCTTAGAACTTTCACTTTACTGTCCAGCATTTAAAAAAGCAAGTTAACAGCATGATATCTATAATAACTTGTTGGGACTCTTGTTGCCATTAAACTTTGTGGAAATGTTGTGCAGATGTAGAATCCCAAGTTTTATAAGAGCATCTTCAGGCTATGGCTTAGAACTTCTTATGGTTCTTGCCTCCAGGATTTTTCTTCCTTCCCTTGGTTTCCCCTCCTAAAAAGTGGTTCCATGTAGGATACGAGTTTTGTGCTCCCTTCTGGTAGTGGCTGTTACATATGTTACAACAGCGAAAATCCTGGTTACTACAAATTTGCCAGGTGAAATCATCAAAAGCTAAAACTAATGTAATCCTATATGACTCACTCTCAAATTCTGCTTTAATCCTTGAACTCCAGTCTAGAGAAACAGCCATTGCAACCATGTAATCACATTGTTGTAAAATTCCCATCTGATTTCCTAAAGCCCTTAAGGAAGAAAATCTGCCATCTTCAACTGGTCTGGCCAAGACATGACTTCAGATCCACAACAATGTGGTTGACTGTTGTCCATCAACTCTCTGTCTGGGCTGGGAAATAAATAGCAATGCCTACATCCCATGAATGAATAAAAACAAATTATTATTATTTCTAAACCCCCTCCATTCCCCCACCACCAACCCCAACTAGAAATTCTTATATCAGTTGACAAGCCTCTTTCCGCTGCCTTCCTGAAATTAAATAACCTCTCAGTACAGAGACCTGTTCCTTTTAATAAACAGTGGCAAATTTGGGATGCATTTATTGTAGAAGACAGTAAAATTGGAGATGAATGCAAGGTGTCAAGGTAATGAAGATACCTGCAGTGTTTAACTTGCTAATAATTCTTCATGTAATGAACAGAGATCTTCAGAAAATCTTCACAACTATGCTGTCAGTAGCAGCCAAAGGAATTCTTATGAGAACCGCAATCCACATCAAGAAGAACATTCAGACTATTCATGCAGTCCTTGTTGAACAAATTAAATGTTCAAAATTCTTCATTTTTACCATATTGATGTATACTTTAAGAATTATGAATTTGTATTTTAGAATTATGCACAATAAAGCTCAAACTTAAATAGACTTCTTGAAGAAAAAGCATTTATATGCCTATGTACAGTTAAATAGTTTGTCTATCATTCATTTTAGGTACTTACAGCAAGTGATGCGAATCAGCTTTACAAGAGAGTCTCACGTTAGAGCATTTCATAAACTTCTCAGTTACAACCTTCCACAGGAAATGGAGAAGCTAAGGTAGGATTCGGTTAAGTTAATGATATTTATAGTTAAAAAATTTTATCAATGAAACATGGATAAGTTCATGAAGGGAAACTTGCCTGTTACAAACAGGCCTTATGAATTTCACAGTTCATACAAATTTAACAGTTTTGACAAAATATTCTGTGTCTGCATTCTCTTATTCATGGCTCATGTCTACTGTAATCTGGAATATGCCTTTACTGACCATTATTTAGTTTAAAAGTGGACACTTAGCCAGACATCATAGAATCCTTATTGTGTCCATTGGCTATTGTAATCTTGCATTTGTTGCTGCATGGATTCCCCTAAATTTATGGAAGACAAAATGAAAAGTTCTTTAATAAAGCGAAGCCTGACTGTATACTAATACAAGTATACTGACTGATTACTTGTGTATTTATATTCCTGGGTTTGTTTTCACACATGCAGGACTTGCAGCTTTTTCCAGTTTATGAAGCTGCAATTCAGTTAATGTCTCTGGGGGGGGAAGAATGTACTAGAAATCCTATGTAATGCTATTTACTGTGATTGCTGGTGTAACAGATAGCAAACAACATTTTATTATCTTCAAAGGAAGACCTCTTCAATGTTTAAGTTGCACAAATGCTTTGTTTCAGTGCAACTTAAGTAGCATGATTGTACCAATTTTACTGCCATGCTTTCAAATGAAGTGAAATGTTAATATCTGCTTCACTGTCCAAGATAAAATTTAGTTCTTATTAAACAGAATAGTAATTACTCAGTGTGATGTCTGTTGTCTTTGAGAATACAGCATTGGAAGCATGAACTTTACCGTTTCATTTAATGCCACTTTTTCATTCTCCTCAGGTTCTTGCTTGAAGCAACTCCTTCGCCAATTGTTTTCTGTCATAATGACTGTCAGGAGGGTGAGCTAATTTATATTTTGTCAAAATAATTTCTTAGTTCGCTTTAATATTATGTTTAATTTTTTTTTAGCAAGTTGTTTTAATGTTGGAAGCATTTTCTTAGCCACATTGGGTCTACAGTTAAATTCTATGCTTTGATTTCATATCTCTATTGAGATAACTGGTCTGTGAAATGGCAGGTTGAGTCAAGGCAAATTGGATCAATGCAATACATCACTGTCAATATGCAATACATACTGACATTTCTTTATTTCAGGTAATCTCCTGCTATTGGAAAACACTGAAAACACTGATCAGAAACTGATGCTCATTGACTTTGAATACAGCAGCTACAACTTCAGGTGACTGTAATACTGCTTGAAATGAAGTTGGAATTAATGGAAGGTAGTTGTACTGTGACTCAAGACATGTATTGGAGTCTTCCGGTGTAGCCGTAGGGGTTTGCAGTGGTGGGGGTCTTGTGATGTTGTCAGTAAGACCCAATGGAGTAGTCTGGAAGGGCAACTGCAACTAAACCTGAATTTTGTGCAACACCAACCCAGAGTTGAGCCTGAATGCAACCTGGACAGAATTGTACTCATTTTATCCTGTAGACACTGATTCTAAATGCTATTTTGGAAAGGCCATAACTGGGATGTGGGACAGCATACCAAATTTAGGGTGGTCCTGGATTGCGTTGTACACTGGTCTCCTGACCTAAGGCTATATCTGCCTTAGTTAAAGCCCAGAGGTATCCTAGATTGAGACCTATATTGACGTCTTGGGATTGAGACAAGTTGCCTTCCAACAACCACAAAAACTACTGTGCTGTATATGATTCAAAACAGTTGAGAGATTTGTTCTGATTGCCACTGACCTCAATTTTGCCAAGGCTGTTTGATGCCACACTGTGCCAAATGTTGCCTTGATGTCAAAGACAGCCACTGCCTTCATCTCTGGAAATCAGCTTTTTCTTTCTTTCATGTTAGGACCAAGGCTTTGAGGTTAGGAGCTGAATGGTACTTGTGCAGCACAAACTGAGCATCAGTGAGCAGGTTATACCAATGTACATGCTGCTTGATAGCTAGAGGACACCTTCCACCATTGTGCATATGATTGAGAAAGGGCTAATGGCACACATGTTGGTTAGATTGGATTTGTACTGATTTTTGTGCACAGGACATGCCTGGACAATTTTGCACATTGTCAGATAATACATTGTAGACTTACTTAAACAGCTTTGCTAGAGGTAAGGCTAGTTCTGGAGAAGCATTGGGAAGGGTATCGTCAGGGCACGAACCTTTTGTATATCTGATAGCAGGGTTGATGCTGACCACCTGCTTTCTCTGGGACTGAATTGCAGTTTCAGAATAAGGGGTAATTAGAACTGGGATGAGAAATTTCTTCAGAATTAGAACTCTCACCCCAGAAGCTTGTAGATGCTTAGTTAAATATATTCAAGGTGAGGATCAAGAGATTGTGGGACAGAGGAAATCTAGGGATACAGGAATAGGCAAGAAAGTAGAGTTAGGGTAGATGATAAGCCGTGATATTAAATGGCAGAGCAAGTGGAAGGAACTATATAGCCTACTCCTATATCTTAAGTCAATCATTCTTAATATGCTACTGTGGACTGAACACACTAAATGGCCTTGTTTTATCCTGTAGACATTCTTTGATTCTGTTTTGTAAATAAAAACAAATGCTATGTGAAAAACCTCTTGCCAGTTGCCAATAATTTTCTTTTCTTTTTAGAGGGTTTGATTTTGGAAATCACTTCTGTGAATGGATGTATGACTACAACTGTGACGAGTATCCATTTTTCAAAGCTGATATCAATAATTACCCCACCAAAGTGCAGCAGGTATGTTCTTTGAGAACTGGATTTTAAGTGAATTATTTTTAACCCGGTTAGAAGTACACGAATCGTTGAATTTCAAAGTAAGTCAGTAGTGATTCTACATCTAAGCCTAAAGTTTTCAATCAGTTGATGGTAACTCATTTTGGTGAAATACTATTAGTTTGATCACCACCCTTCAAACCTTGTCTCTAGATTGTTGCATTTAAAGTTTAATAAATAGAAATAAGATGTCTTCAAATGTAGTTTTAAAATAAGTAATGAATTAGGTCGCATTTTCTGGGGCTCATCAGAAGCCGTTCTCTTAATACATCATTACTGTAAAATGCAAGTCTGATCAAATGAAATGGTCTGTGCTAACTCTAACACAACCAGCATGCTGAAGATACCAACTTTTCAATCAATGAAAATAAGCACTGAAATGCTAGTAGGTTGGTCAGGTGGCTGTATATAACTGCCCCTGGTCTCCTCCTAATATTTTTAATCTGCACTAAGTCTTGAATCACTATCCAGTGATGAGAGAAATATCCATCAGTACTACATGTAGTCACTTATCTCACCCTGGCAAGTTGGGAAATGACCTGTGAAAGGCAGAATGCTAAGTGAAAACAGCAGGTAAGTACCTAGTATCAGTTTTTAAATGCTTTGCCCAGCAACTGAATGGAGTTCTCCATTCAAATTCACACATCCCCAGTGAAGTCCGGAACTGAGACATAACACCTGATGGGATCCTGAACCAAGAGGCCATTTTTAGGGAATTTAATTTACAAATGCACCTGATCCTACCTGGAAAAATTTTATCCATAATGTCTGAAATGCTTTGAAAATATCAGTTGCCATGTCTCTTGGTTATAACTTGCAGGTCAAACCCAAAAATAAAAAAAAACTTTAACTTTGAGAGAAAATTTGATATCAGTTGTTGCAGAACAAATAATCTGTCACAGGCTAGTTTCTCACCCGAAAAACCTGATTTGTTGTTTTGTGACAGCTCCATTTCATCAGAGTTTACAATGCTGAAATCCAGGATGAATTTGATGACTTAAATGACGATCAGATAGCAAAAATGGAAGACCAAATGCTAGAAGAAATAAACAGGTAAATATTCTGATTAAAGATAAAATCATTTCTAAATCCCTCTTTTTATTCTTTGTAGTGTTCAATACTCACGCAAATGGTGAAGTGCAGACTGCTTATCATGAACTTGTAAATTAAAACCAAATTTCAAAGTGAAAAAACACCCCAATGAATCACTTAACAAATCATTGGATATCATAATACTTCATTAAAGTAGACTTGCTATTCCATGTATTTAACACCTCTGTGCTGTGGAACCATAAGGAACAGTATTATCCTTTGGCTCTTGGTAATGGGCAACATTTGCCGAGCCAAGAGCCTGATTGAGGTTTCCACATAACGGCCTAGCAGCCAGTTCCACCATGTGCCTAATCTCATGTTCATGCTCCAGAGGTCCAGACTGTTTGCTGTCCCACTTGCCTTTCCTCTCCAACTGCACACCTTTCCCTGAATTAACATTCACCCCTGTTTGTCTAGAATGACTGTACAATGGTCTTTTGAACGTACTGCCTATTTTTAATATTTTGGAAAAAGAATTAGGCAAGTCAGGCAGCATTAAAGACTGTCTTTGGCCATTTGCTGACCCAGTTGTTTAGTTTTCAAATACAGATGTAAGGACATGTTTTGACATTGAGACAGCTGCATTCTTTCAGCCCTTTACTCTGTCTTTTCATGCATGTTTCAATACTATATCCTCAGGCAAGCAGGAGAAGGCCACTGGGCCCATTGAACCTTATCTGCCATTCAACTAGATCATAGCTGATTTTGTACTTTAAAGCCATTTTCCTGCACTAATCCCATAAACCTTGATTTGTTTCATGAATAGAAGTCTACTGATCTGCCTTGAATATTCTCAATGATTGATGCTCCAAATTCCTGTGGGATAGAGAATTAAATGAATCACTTCCTTCTGAGCGAAGAAATTCTTTATTACCTCAGTCCTAAATGGCCTGTCTCTTTGAGATTGTGTCCTTGCTCCAGACACAATCCCCAGTCAGGGATTAAACAACCTTGTTGAGCCCTGTAAGAATTTTGTATGTTTCAATTAGATTGCCTCTCACTCTCCCCTACTCTAGGGTTGGGACATTAGAGAATATAGACCTGGCTTAGTTATTCTTTCCTCAAATGATAGTGCTACCTGATCAGGGTCCCTACCCTTCTTCGCTAAGAATTTGCATCAGTTCTATTTTTCCAGTCAATGAATGAAGAATTTGGTTGTTATTCCCATCATTGATGTTCTAGCATTCAATGTTCCAAGCAATTTTTTTTATTTTAGTTGCCTGAAATACAGTTGCAAATCTTAAAATATAGATTAAATATATTTCTGAGCTTGTGGCCTTCTGAAATGACTGTTGCCACATACGGGTAGTTTATTTTTAGGGGGCTGCACTACTTGTAAGTAACTACAATATAAAATTTCATATTACCAGCCATCTGTGTGAGAGCTGCAAGTGCAACTGATAATGGAATCTTGAATAAGATCAATGTGCTGATGACTTTGTGTGCTAATAATGCGCTGCTAGAAATATGATCTAAAAACTTGCCTAATTAGCTCTGGACTTCAAGGACTTCTTGTTCAAGTACCTTATGGCTAGATACACAATGAAGCTCCTTCATCAATAACACATTAAGTCAGCTACCAAAAAGTAGTCTGAAATTCTGCACTGAATATTTATATTCTCTACCTACTTGTCCTTCGCAGTGTTCCAGTTTTTAAATTCAGTGGCAGTTGTGTTCACTTATGGTCAACTTTGATGTGCCAGTCAATTAGGAGGTGCTCTGCAGTTGCATAAGAGCATTGCAATCAATAACTTGTACTTATATGGCACCTTTCATATAACTAGATATGCCTCAATGCTTCACAAGAGCATTCTAAAACAGTGTGAAACTGAACTACCCCAAGGAGATTAGTTAGAGTAAGCAAAAGATTCAACAAAGTGGTGTGCTTTAAGAAGTGTGTTCAGATGAGTTAGGTAGAGAGGCAAAGGGGTGTAATGAAGGGAATTCAAGAGCTTAGCTACCCATGGTGAAGCAATAATAATTGGGAATGCGTAAGAGGCCAGAACTAGAGAGCGCAGATAACTCTAGGATTGTGAGATAGGAGATTATAAATAAGGATGAGGCAAGGACGTGGAGGGATTTGTAACCAAATGTGAAACTTGAAAATAAAGTTACTGCATGTCTGGGAACCGGTGTATGTCAGTAATCCCAACAGATAAGGGAATGGGAATTGTGGTGAATTAAAAACTGGCAAGTAGAGTTTTGGATGACCTCTAGTTTATAGAATAGAACATGGGAGACTGTCGTTACATTCTTGGATACATTTGAGTCCAGCGTAAAAGGCATAGATAAGGGTTTCAATGGCAGATAAGGTGAGACAGAGTAATCTTGGAAATAGTGATGGTATGAATAAGAGGTTGGAAGCACATCTCCAGATTTAAATGTGACACCAAGGTTGCGAATGGACTAACTTAATCTGAAGATTGTTACCAGGGAGTCAGATGGAGTCAGTGCAAAGGAATGGAGTTAGTGGAAGAGACAAAGACCAGGATTTTTAGGTCAGAATCGGGGTTCAGTGGTCTATACTTGGATGAACTGGCCTCAATGCCTGTTTGCTGCCTCAGTCCTAACCCTAAATTATTTTCAATGAAGTGTGGCTTGGGGACAGGTCAGCAAGTGGCCAGCTTAAGCCCAATTCTGGTAAATTGCAGGCAGCCCACGTTGGCCTGGATGACATCCGATTCTGAAGGATCCTTCCCTAATGGAGGCATTACAGCCACCAGGCCGTACCTGCTACTGGTCATCTCGTGGATGAATTGCCCCTCCAGGATCCTGGCCAAGCAACTATGGCTTTTTCAAAAGTAAAGGTCAACCTCACTTCACTTGTTCATGCACAGCAGCTTGAACTTCAGCAATTGGGACTGCTGATCACTTAATGTGCACAGAGCCTCCTGTTGACTTGGGTACATTCCTGCTGCTCCAAACAGTATGAAAGGTTTAGTTATATTCTCCTGAGAAAAAAGTTCTTCAAATTTTTTTGATTACACCTAGTTTCAAAATATAAAATTATCTCCAATGCTGTAATTGAAGCACAAGGAGAATAGGGTATAAAGAGTTATATCTCTGGCACCAATAACTTAAAGCCATTGCTGCAGGTTAGAAGCTTCCGTCATATCAGCTAGAGAATTGAAAGTGATTTCAGTAACTTGTAAGTGATTTTTAACTACATAAAGCATTACTAATAAGAACTGGGATTTTACTTTAGTTATACTACATTTGACCATTTTAGTCATGTCATTCGTTCAGCAAATAAGCTGTTTCTAGGAAACCAAGTGCTTTCTTCTCTGAAGATAAGAATACATCTGCTTTTGAAGTAAATTTGTGGACATGGCTTTGACTAATTTCCTTAAATTGTAAAATGAGGGTAATGAGTCTATATAGCACAATATTTTATCAACTTTGCGGCAAGTGAAATAGCATATCATGATCTTTTCCAATCCTGTATGTTACTACATTGTGGTTCTCTCAAATGCTAATCCGTCGTGATATATTAATTCAGCTGTGTGCATGTATTGATGTTTATATGTATTTAACATTTACAGATATGCACTTGCTTCACATTTCTTTTGGGGTCTGTGGTCCATTATTCAGGCTCGGATATCAGCAATTGAATTTGGATATCTGGTGAGTAAAATGTAATGGCTAAATCTTTAAAAAGAAAACACATGGCATTCATTTACTTTTGTGCAGTCACATCAAAATGGTAGTGGTTTTGTTCTTGGAATGAAGCATTTTTCTCAGCAGAGAATATAAATAAAACATTTCATTACGGAATTCTTTTAAATTGTAAATTTTCTTCTGCAGGATTATGCATTGGCAAGATTTGAAGCATACTTTGAACAGAAGAAGGAGCTAGATGTTTGATGATTAGTTGACGTGTGGGAGGAGCCAGTGAAGTGAAGTAAATGTGAAGTAAAGACGAAGACACCAGAAAAATTTAAGTGTCAGAGCCAGCTATGGAAAACCACAGCAGTATTCAGCAGAGATATGAACTGTGTGTGGATTTGTTTCATGTGGTAGAAGTTTAGAAATTGATGGTCTGTTTTTTTTTTCTTTAAAAATTACAGCCTGTTTACTGTTTCAGGACTTGCTTTATGGATAAAACTTTGAAAAATGTAGTAATGTAACATTAATCTGGTACAAAGCTGCTAATTAATTCTCTGAAATAGATTAGTATTAGGTAGATATTTAGTGAACAATTAAGTTGTGTATATCAAAATACTTCTCCAGCTGGAAAATGTGACTTACTTGTCATTTAAAAAATTTTTTTTTGTTGGCAAAACAGCCTTTAGATAAGTAACATAAGAGAAGAGTTGACTTAAACTCTGAAGTACTTGCCTAGAAATCTATATTAAAGGGCAGATTATACATTGTTTTACATATAATGTGAAAATCAGTAATGCTACTGAAGCCAAGTTTAAATGTATAATTCAGTATAATTCTGCTATATTAATAATCACACTAGTGAAAGAATATTGGGATGAAGCTGTTTTGATACAAAAAAACTAATTCCTGAGCCAGACAGGGTAGCAGACCCAAGGCCCTTTTGATGATGGACCAGTTAGCATGGCTGGCTGATGGGACCTAAAGGGATAGAACTATCACTGGGGAGACTGGAATCTTCCCAGTTATTTTCAGATAACCTTAGAATAAGTTATTCTAAGGATATGCAACTAGGATTGTTTCTCAACAACCAGTGCTGGTATCTGCACATTGTTAGCAAATTGAACTCCAGGAATATTGTTACACACACTGATAATCTCTTTCTTAGCAATTGCCAACCTGTGCCTGTATTTGTTTTGATCTTGTATGGAGTTGCCATTATAAGGAGAAAGTGTGCACTCCACATCTGGCATAGATAGGTATAATGTGCATTTCTCAATAGATTGATATGGAGATTTAAGTATGATGGTTTCTGACATGTCAGATATCCAGCTGATGTCCTAAACTATGATTATTTTATAACATTGCATTGGATTTATGATATATTTTGTTTATTGTATGTCATTATGTAGTTAAGCCTCTGCTTTCGACAAAATACAAGTGCATTAGTGGTGTTGTTCTCATGCTGAATAACAAATATAGAATAAGCAAGGTAATATGCTTTAGTTGTTGGTAACAAGAGTTGCAAGTTTTGAACTTGTATTATTTGTATGCAGCTGTCTGAAATGAATTAGCATAAGTACTCTTCTAAAACAAAAGCTGTCAAAGATGAAATTCAGTTTCTGCGACAAAATGCGCAATGGAAGATTAATTCTTCTTTATATATCCTGCTTAATTTTCCTTTTCCATTCAAGTCGAAGTAAGTTGAGCAGCATATATAATGGACAGCCAATTTTCTACCACATGCTCTGCTCTCTTGCTGGAGCTGAATTTTGGGTTCAGTAGTTCATTTCCTAAACTTTTTTCTGAACAGACCTGTTCCAAGTTTAATTTGTAATTTTTAGTTTTCAGGAAAACTACATTGTGAATTTAAAGTTGCTGTACATGAGGTAGAAAACAGTGACCAATATTTATTCATGATTTTTGTATTGCATATTCTGTAACCCAATTGATGTGCGCACATGTAGGCAAATAAGCCAACGCCTGAGCCATTTGCTTTGTCTTGTTGAACATGTATATTGTGTAAATAATGATTGAGTTCTAATATTAAGACCAAAGCCAGAACTGTTTGGAACGAGGTACTTTGCAAATTTAGTTTCTGTTGATAGTGACACTACTTTTTCAAGTATCTTCACAATATTAAGGCTGCCACTAACATACAAGTTAATTTGTGCAAATGTTTGTATTTTTTCTGTAGGTGATGCACAGTAAATTACTTGGCTTTGATTCATCATAGCAGTTACCATGTGTGATCCCAGTAAGGCAGTTAAAAGCCAGTGTCCACTAAAGTTCAAATTCCTATTGTAACAACTATGTTTAAAGTCCTGTACAAAGCTGGTTCCAAGTCCAAAAAAAGCTAATAACATGCATGGAAATGTACTAAAATTTTACATTTTCAGTAGCAGTGATTTGATTCTTGGTGCAAAGGTTGCACCGTTTCTGACAATAACCAGCATTTAATACAGTACTGGGAGGTGCATGGCTACGTTTAACGGTGATCTTTCTGTAAGACAGAGTAATTGCACTTGTGGAATTGCAGTATAAACAATCAGAATCATCCTTGTGTTGGGAATTAATTTCTTTACTGTAACAAATGTGATGGATGCTTTTAAATATTAATGCAGTGATGTGGTGCATTGTTATGTTGATGCCAAATCAGTTGTATTTTTGTAAAATGTCACTGTGTATGCACAGTTTATGTACTGACATAAAATTTTTATTAAAACTTTTTCCCTAGTGGCATGAAGCAATACGAGTTGAAGAATAGTTCTAAGGGGCTAAAGATGGCCATCAATTCCCATCAGATTAATGGAAAATTTTATATGCTAATATTAATGTCTTGTGCTGTGATTAGTGAGTCTACTTTCATTGCTGTGCACTGAATACAAACTCACTGCCCTTTCCTGCTGTTTAGAATTTATTATTCCAATAACTCAATGTAAGGTATCATATTTCCAACATCTTTCAGCAGTGCTGGCCTTCTTTGCTGGGGCCCTTCTGAAATGGGAAATGTGAACAAAGCTAATAAAATAAAATAACTCAAATATAGTTCCTTTCTGAGACCATGGCAATTTTTAAATGCAAAATAACTAATTTTTTACCAGGTTTAAAAGCCATAACTTTCAGACCATTTTGATCCTTGTGCTTTTTTGTTTTTGTTGTCAAGTGGGTTATCATCTTGGGGAAGGAACTCTATAACAATTTTTTGTCTTCAAGCAATTTGTCTTCTGGGTTGGTTCAAATATTTTCTCAAGACTGAGACAACTAGTTAATAAACAAGTGTCCAAAATCCAAGTGAACAGACAGTTAATTGAACAGCAATTTCCTTTTGTTGGCTACCAGAGGTGGATACACCCAAGAGTGTCCTTGGTCAAAGCACACGGACAAAATATTTTCATGGTTTTGATCTCAGAAAAATGAGCTTAAAAGCTCACTGAAGCTGATTTGTGGCAGACAGAAAATTCAGTCTCAAGTTCTTATATTTTAAAAAAAAAAAATCCAGTTTAAAAGAAAAATCCATTCACATTAAAAACAGTCAGAAAGGTTTATTGGGAATTCTTCTTTTAGTCTTTATTACCATAATGACAGCCAAAAACAAAACAAAAATGTTCTGATTTAAATCCTTTTGTGTCTGTCAAACAATGAGGGATGTATGTGGAGCAAGTCACGGTCTTTTGGAATAGAAGAAAGAAAATTACAGCACAGGAACAGGCCCTTCGGCCCTCCAAGCCTGCACCGACATGCTGCCTGTCACAACTAAAACCCCCTACCCTTCCAGGGACCGTATCCCTCTATTCCCATCTTATTCATGTATTTGTCAAGATGCCCTTTAAAAGTCTCTAATAGTATCTGCTTCCACTACCTCCCCTGGCAGCAAGTTTCAGGCACCCACCATCCTCTGTGTTTTTAAAAAAAAAAACAAACTGCCTCGTACATCACCTTTAAACCTTGCCCCTCACATCTTAAACCCATGGCCCCTGGTAACTGACTCTTCCACCCTGGGGAAAAAGCTTCTGACTGTCCAGCCTGTCCATGCCCTTCATAATCTGTAGACCTCTCAGGTTCCCCCCTCAATTTCTGTCGTTCCAGTGCGAATAACCCAAGTTTCTTCAACCCCTCCTCTAATGATTTTTGTAGTACTGAGAGGAAATATGGGGGTGAGTTTTAAGGGGCCAGTAGAGCTGTAGATATTGGGTAAAATTCCTGGAACATATTAGATTGGGAATACATGAGACCTGGATGATTTTGGAAGGGAGCAAGAGAAACTCCATGTAGCTATTGGGAAGCTATTCAAACGGATAATTGACACCAGGAATGTAGAAATTCCTGGAAGACTGAAAAATCTTCAGCATTGTTCTGAGATTTTTCCCGTGCACCAACCAAAGTTAATATCTGCTGCATTTACCCTATTAAATAAAAATTTCTTCTACATCCCACTTTACCCATGCATTTTGGCATTATAAACCTGGTGGATGAGTTCCCTAAGCTCTGCATCTTGCTGGGGTGCAACAGGTGACTGCACTGTATGCAGTGTTTAAGTGATTTTTGAAGACTGAAGTTGCTAAACTAATGGTTAACCAGTGAAAGGCCTATGCTGGACAGGATCACTTCTGTCATGAAATAATTTGAGGCCATTGCAATTTTTGTGGACTTGTTTTCAAACATCACTGAAAAATGCTATGCCTTGGTACAAAGGGACTGGGCAGACAGCTGTGGCTTCAAGGATGGACTTAGCCCAGCAGACGGTTAAGAGTGAGCTTCCTGAAGTTGTCAGAGCAATAGTGCATTGAAGTACTATTCTGGAAGCAGACTTCCTCAAATCCTGCTAGTTATGCATGGTCCATATCAACTTTATTCACCCATACTCCAGTGAATCTCCTGTAGATACTTTGTCCAGGATATCACCAGACTGTTATCCAGGTCATCAGTGCCTGGTTTGCTATTGTCAAGACCCTCCATGGATGAGTACTGTGTCCAATGGCTAGATTTCCATAGCTTCAGAAGATTATTTCCCCCTATATATAATCATATCTACCACTAAATACATTCATGAGTCAGAAACACTTCCACCACCTTAATGTGCAGTTATTCTGTGATCATCCTGCATGTCGGTGTCAGGAAACCAGGAATTTCCATGCTGATGCTTTTCTTTTACAATTAGACCCTCCACTGGTGTTTTCTCCAATGAAGACTGTGACTCCTGGGCGACAACATGAATGACGCCAGGAATTAACACCAACACTGAGCCACAGGAACCGCCTTCCCAGGCAGATGACACAGCTGTTAGCATTCTTAACAAGTTGTAGTGACTGACTTGCTAACTTTCAAGAAGGAAAGATTTGCATTTGTATAGTGCTTTCCAAAATCACTAGACAGGTCAAGTGTTTTACAGTCAATGGACTACTTTGCATGTTATCACCGTTGTAATGCAGCAGCCAATTTACACAGCAAGACCCCTGCAACAGCAATCGTGTAATAAACAGAACCTTCTTTCTGAGGTTAGTTTAGGGATAAACTTTAGCCTGGACACCAGGAATATGTCTTCTGCACTGTTAAATAGTACCCCTGAGCTATTTATGTTCGTTTGAACAAGCTTTGGTTTGATATCTCATCCAAAAGACAAGGGGGTGAATAGTTGGGTCCCAGTGATCAGATTTTTCTACCAGATGTATTTTGCTGCTGCTTCGGTCTTCACCACCATTAAAGACAAAAGTCCTCCTCAAAAGCCCAATCAGAGGGCAGGTGGCTTTGAAGTCAGGAAAGGGGCAGTATCAGGGCCAATCAGGCAGGCTATGATTAGTGGGAGGCAGCCGATGCCATTGGTACAGGGGAAGCCGTGGTCACTGCTGGCCCTTTGTCTGGGCACCTTCTGGTCCAGGAAGACACTCCACTCCTCCAGCCTGAAGCCTGCTGGAAGGAAGCTGATGGTGGTCTCCTCACATGGCACTGAGCCCTTCTGACAAGCATAGTACCCCTATATAAACAAAAGACCCGTAGGTAATCACCTGAGAGGTTTAGTTGAATTCTGGGCAGGTGGACTGTAAGCCACCTTCCCTGCCACTGGCAAAGTGGACTGGTGATGAGATTAAAGGCCTGATCATCCATTCTGTGCTACATACAGCCTCCAAGCCTGTCCCTAAAAGGTTTGTAAAATGCAGTATTCCTCTGTACAGCTTTGGGGTTTCAGCCTTGAGTTTTTGTGTTCAAGCCCTAAAGAGGAACAAGTGAAATGAGATTCAAAATTGAGCATGACCAAATGAGTCACAGCTCACAATCTGAGTTCCAGAGAACGGTCTATAATGAACAACAAATCCTCTTTCTGACTGCCTTCCTCTTACTCCTATATGGCATTATCCCTTTAGCTTCAGTTGGAAGGAGGCACTCTGGTGGGTTGAGACAACCATGATGGACAACTTTGAATTTAGGATCTCTTTAAGGGCCCTCCCAATTTCTGCTCCAATTGTTTTATAAAGGTTCATTATGCCTCTATTCATAAAGACCAGCAAAAGCCCAGGTTTCAATATGATACACTTCATAACCACAGCTTTGACAAACAATTGTTCACAACTTGCTTGATCATATTATGTAAACAGCTCCATTTCTTTGAATTTGGAAAAATGTCAAAATTATTTTAGGCCCCCTAAGATTTTTCTCAGGGGGTAACATTTCGAAGTTCAGTGGCTCTTTCTTCAATTTCATCAACTTCTTCATTACATCATACAGATACATAGTAACAATAGTTTGTATTTTGTGATGTATTTGAATTCAGAAACAGAATTAGAAGAATTCATCAATAGTAGAAAGTGCAGTATTTAAATTGGTATAAGACAACAGGCATAAGTCAGCAACAAAATATTTTCTCAAGATAACTGACACACACTTCTGCATCAAAAATTATATCATTCTCAACATATCTGCAGGCAAGCAGGGTCACAGCTGTCAGGAGGGGACATGAAAAGTCTTTAGCAGGTAGGATCAAGGAAAACCCTAAAGCTTCCTATAGGTATGTCAGGAATAAAAGAATGACTAGAGTAAGATTAGGGCCAGTCAAGGACAGTAGTGGGAAGTCGTGCGTGGAGTCCGAAGAGATAGGAGAGGCGCTAAATGAATATTTTTCGTCAGTGTTCACACAGGAAAAAGACAATGTTGTCGAGGAGAATACTGAGATACAGGCTATTTGACTAGACGGGATTAAGGTTCATAAGGAGGGGGTGTTAGCAATTCTGGAAGGTGTGAAAATAGATAAGTCCCCTGGGCCGGATGGGATTTATCCTAGGATTCTCTGGGAAGCTAGGGAGGAGATTGCAGAGCCTTTGGCTTTGATCTTTATGTCGTCATTGTCTACAGGAATAGTGCCAGAAGACTGGAGACTAGCAAATGTTGTCCCCTTGTTCAAGAAGGGGAGTAGAGACAACCCTGGTAATTATAGACCAGTGAGCCCTACTTCGGTTGTGGGTAAAGTGTTGGAAAGGATTATAAGAGATAGGATTTATTACCATCTAGAAAGGAATAATTTGATTAGGGATAGTCAACACGGTTTTGTGAAGGGTAGGTCGTGCCTCACAAACCTTATTGAGTTCTTTGAGAAGGTGACCAAACAGGTGGATGAGGGTAAAGCGGTTGATGTGGTGTATATGGATTTCAGTAAAGCGTTTGATAAGGTTCCCCACGGTAGGCTATTGCAGAAAATACGGAGGCATGGGATTGAGGGTGATTTAGTGGTTTGGATCAGAAATTGGCTAGCTG